TTGGTGGAGGCCTGGTGTTACCTTCTTACAAAGTTCATGTGTTACGGGGAGGTTAGAAATGCCAGCTATTAGGAATCGCAGAAGCAGGACCTACGAAACTTGGCAGAGGTGAGGAGGTACATGAGGTACTACAATGAATTCGTCGTCACTTGACCTTGAAGAAAGCCTGAGGTGTTTTGTAGTGGACCTGGGGAAAATGGTGGTCTGTAAGTGACCAGGAGTGGCCGAAGAGTGGGGATTTGGAAGGAAAGTGAGCCTTCAAGCATGTGCTGTGGCTGTAGAAATCTGTGACTTAGGGCTCTGGTGGATGCCTGAGGCTTGCAGAGGCGCACACACACACACACACACACACACACACACACACACACACACAGACACGCGTTTGTTTTGCTTGCCGAATCATCTGCAGCTTTCCATGGCCCCTGGCCCTCACTGTAGATGAAGCGGCCCATGAGCCTAGTAGTGAGTTCAAATTTATACTCCCCACTATATAGGTTGCATTTTTTTCTGAGACAGGGTTTCTCTGTGTAGCCTTGGCTGTCCCAGGCTCTAACCCAGAGATCCACCCACCTCTACCTCTCTGAGTGCTGGGATGATCGGTGTGCACCACTGTGCCCAGTTTATGACAATTGTATTTAAACAAGATTTCTGTTTAAACTTTAAGTTGTGTCTATGTGGTGTGTGTGTGTGTGTGTGTATGCATTGGCATGAACATGTGCACATGCATGGCACGTGTGAGGAAGCCAGGGGTCACCTTTCAGGGTACTTCCACGGCAGTCCCTCAGGGCAAACTCAGGACATCTTGGGGCTACCGAGATGGTTCAGCAGTTAGAATCACTTAGACCCGGGTTCAATTCCCAGCACCCAAACCGAGCTGCTAGCTCCCAGCCACTTCTCACGGTAGCTCCAGGGGATCTAACACCTCTGGCGTTAACAAGCACCCTTACCCTTCTACACACACCCTCCGGCATATATACATAATTGAAAACAATAAAGTAAACTCTTTAAAAAACCCTCAGGTCCTCAAGATTTGGCAGCAAGCCCCTCCTCCCGCTGAGCCATCTTGCTATGCTTGCTGTGACTTTTTGTTTGCTTGTTTCTGCCACGCTGTGGGCTGAACCCAGCACCCTCCTACTGCCGCAAGCACCCTACTGGAGCCCCCTTTGTGCTTTTTATTTTCAGATTGGGCTGTGGCTCACTAGGCTGCCCAGGCTAGTCTTGAACTTACTCTGTGGCCCCCAGTGGGCTTTATCATCCCCTCGCCTCAGCCTCCTGAGTGACTAGAATGACAGGTCTGGATATGAGTTTGTGGTTTTGAAACAAGCCTTGCGACAGAGCTGTGTAGCATCCTATGCTTCAGATGAAAAATGGCCATGCATCCACGTGGCTTGCCACACTCATTAGGTCTTTTTTTTTTTTAACTGCCTCTGTGCTGTAGCCGGTGTTTTGTGGACAGAAAGTCGGGGCGGAGAGGTCTTCAGTCTGAAGATCGTGGGCCTTGTACCTAGGGAGTTTGCCAAGTGGACACCGCATTGAGGGCAGAGGAAACACAGTGCAAGGTTTGAGGGCCTAGTATCTACCATCCTGATCGTGCACACATCAGCACTGTGCTTCCCCAGACAACAACAAAGCCGAGACTTTTAGATGGAAGGTGGTGATCCCACTGCCTGGAACAATTTCGAAGGGCTCAGGCTCAATTTCTGGGCCCCATGCTCCAAGAGAAAAGCATAAATAAAAAAGAGTTAGGAAAAACAAATAAGTCTATATCCAGGCTGGTCAGAGAACTCAGCAAGCAAAGGCACCTGCCATTAAGCCTGTTGGCCTGAGTTCGATTCCTGTGCCCCACATAGTGGAGGGCCAGAAACAATTCCTGCAAGCTGTCCTCTGACCTCCACAAGCATGCCATGATACTGCCATACATTAAAAAAAAATGAGTGGGTGATAGATAGATAGATAGATAGATAGATAGATAGATAGATAGATAGACAGACAGACATAATAAGGTCAAAGCAAAAGATTATAAGTAGGCCAGTGATGGACAGTACGGCCACATCAGATGAGACGCTTAGATTCTCATGAACTGTAGGAGAATCCCCTTGAAATTATTGAGATGTTAGGACAAATCAGGATCATCTGGGCTTTCCCCTTATGGTCCACTGGAGCAGAATCCAATTTGCAAGCTTAGCCTGGGATGGGCTAGCTCATGGGTCATTCTCAGGAAGCACTAACTTCCATGCTGTGTGTCAAGTAGGTCCAACCCAGATCTAGCCCTGGACCTGCGTCTGATAGCCATGGGCCTATTGCAGATAGTACTGTTGCTAAAATTCCTCCCCACGGAGAGATGATGTGAGCAACACTTACATCTCTGCCTACGGTCCCAACGACAAACAGGTGCAATTCCACCAGAGTTAGTTTACTGGGCTTCCTCACAGAGCCTACACAAGGCTACTTACAGGCGGGTGAGGGAACCTCCCCCAAAAGGTCACACTCAGAAGTCTTTACCCAGCAGGGCTGATGGTTTCTCCACAGCTGCATAGACGGAGTCTCATTCCCCTAATCTTCCCCAGCCTATATATTCCCTAGCCCAGCGGTTCTCAATCTTCCCAGTGCTGAGACCCTTTAAGACAGTTATGGTGTGGTAACCCCCAACCATAAAATTATCTCGTTGCTACTTTATAACTGTAATTTTCCTACTGTTAGGAATCACAACGTCAATCTCTGATATGTGACGCCTATGAAAGGGTTGTCCGGCTCCCAAAGGGGTGGCGACACACAGGTTGAGAACTGCTACTCTAGCTTTTTAGAGAGGCCAAGTTCACTGAGGGATACACACAACAGGTGGTAGGGAGTAGCTGGACACTCGGGCGAGATCTCCTCCTCCCTCACCGGATGGGATATCCGTCTACAAAGCCCTCTGGGATAATCTTTTACAAGCGAGTACAGACGAGTACCCTTAAACAGAGGTTGTTCGGCCTGCCAGATGGTCTTGCACAGTGGGTACCACTCTCTTGTGCAGATATGTCTCGTACCTACACTCAAATAGACAGGTGTGTGCATCATCTCTCATCTTACCCCACCACCACCCCGGCCAGCTAGAAGGAACCCAAATCTTCTCTCCCTCTTCTCCCTCCTCATGCTTCCCAGTCTGCTGCTTGGGTTTGGTGTGGCCCAAATATCCCCAAGGGTTCACCTGTTCAAATTAAATCCCCACTTCCAAACTCTTAAGAGGGTGGACACTTAATCCAACTATAGCGTGTAGAGGTTGGGCCTTAGGGAGGCGACCAGGACTAGATAAGGTCACTAGCTTGAATCCTGGTGGCTTTAAATCGAGAGAGACAAGAACACACACCCATGCTGTCCTTTTCCATGTTAACCTTAGGACTCCACCTGTAGCCCTTGACCTCTAACCCTGCGCGTCATCATGAATTTCTTGTCTTTACTACTCCTCAGCCCATGCTGTTGTGTTCTTGGCAACCAAAGATGGATTCTTGAAAGTGGTCTGTCAGCTCCTCCCAGGCGGCCCGTGCAGTGCTTGTGCAAACTTAGGACACCTCATGTCATGGGCTCCGACACTTGCTCTTGTCTCGTGCACAGTTTTTACAACCCTGCATCTTCTTCCTGGAGCAGGCTAGGCCATGTTCATGTTTCATCTGGCTCATTCATACTTTTTCCTCAGCTAACACCTTGGAATTTCCTCAGTGAATCTTCCCAGCCTCACGAAGAGGCTCCCCTTTTATGTTCTATGGTGCCTTGTTTTAATGTATAACGTCTTCTGGGTGACTATGAAACTCCAGAATCATCTGTTCCTACCAGCCTTTGCTGACTGCTAGCTAGTTGGGCATTTAGGGAGCAAGCCAGATCTTTCTAAGAGTAACGTTAAACTGGGTTCTCGGCGGTACACTCCTATAATCCGAGGACTCAGGCAGCTGAGACAGGAGGATCACTGCAAATTCAAGGCTAAGACACCATACTAGAATATTGTATCCAGACCAGAGAATGAAGAGATGTGGCAATCTGGGAATCTAAATATTTGTGAGGAGAAAAAAAAACCAAAAACTTCTGAAATTAGGAACCAGGCTGAGGATGATAGTGGGAGAAATATATAATTAAGCAAATCTCAGGGTAATCAAGGGTTTTCTTTATTCTGTCTGCTAAGGGTCTTTCCTATGCAAAATGTTAGACCAATCAAGAAATGAGGCCAAGTGAAAGTTGTGCTAAAATTCTTACTAGGCTGTCTTTTTAAAAGCTTTACTATTAATCCTTATTGAAATATAACTCACAATAATACTTTATGACTCAACAGAAGAATGGGTAAAGAAAATGTGGTTTATGTTCCAATGGACTTTTACTCCATAAAGAAAAATGAAGTCATAGTATTTGCAGGCAAATAGATGCAACTAGAGATTATTATATTAAGTGAATTAAGTGAGTCTCAGAAAGACAAATATCCTATGTTTTCTCTCATTTATGAATCATATATTATGTGTATTAATAGCTACCTACAAGCATAGATGTATATCTAACACAGAAGTAGAAGAGAAAGCCTCTAGAACTGTGGTCTTCAACCTTCCTAACGCTGCAGCCCTTAACAGCTCCTCATCTTGTGGTGACACGCCCCCCCATCATGAAATTAATTCATTGCCACTTCATAACTGTAATTTTGCTGCTGTTGTTATAATCATAATGTAAATATCTGATGTGTGACCCGCAAAGGGGTTGTGACCCATAGGTTGAGAAACACTAGCTGAATGAAGGGGACAGGAAGAGTGAGGAGGGGAAGGAGTGGGAAGAACACTGTCAAAATACAGTATGGGGGGTTCAATGAGAGTGTTGTCCCAGAGAGATCCTGAGGGGGTTTGCAGGCACCACAGTGGCGATCGGAGTCCTGCTACGGCTCAATCACGTCTATTTTGTCCTATAATGGAGGGGCTGTCATGGCCATGTAGGGAAAGAACTGCGTGGACATTGCTGCAGAAAGGTGTTTCAGGAACCAGGCCCAGATGGTGACCACAGACTTCCAGAAGAGCTTTCCCATGGGTGACAGGCTCTACATAGGCCTGGCCAGGATGGCCACTGATGTCCAGACTGTTGTCCAGGGCCTCACTTTCCAGCTGAACCTGTATGAGCTGAAGGAAAGTCGGCCAATCAAGCCTTACACCCCCATGAGCATGGTGGCCAACTTCTTATATGAGAAACGGTTTGGTCCCTACGACACAGAGCCTGTCGTCGCTGGGTTGGACCTGAACACCTTTAAGCCCTTCCTTTGTTCTCTAGACCTCACTGGCTGCCCCATGGGGACTGATACCTTTGTAATCAGCTGCACCCACTCCGAACAAATGTATGGGAGGTGTGAGTCTCTCCGGGAGCCCAACAAGGATCCAGAACACCTGTCTGAAACCATTTCCCAGGCCATGCTGAATGCTGTGCACCGGGATGCCATGTCAGCATGGGCATCATCGTCCACATCATTGAAAAAGACAAGATCACCACCAGGACACTGAAGGCCCGGATGCACTAACCCTATGCCCTGATCCCAGTTTCATTTTCTTGTTTTTCTTTTTAATAAAATCTCCTTTCTTAAAAAAAAAAAAAAAACAAAAAAACCAACAACAAACAAACAGGATAGGGGGCTGGAGAGGTGGCTCAGTTGTTAAGAGCACTTGCTGATCTTGCGGAGTACCCCCTAGTTCGGCTCCCAGCACCTACATCAGGCGGCTCCCAGCCGCCTACAACTCCAGTTGCCTCCTGTAACTCCAGTTCCAGGAGATCTGATGCCCTCTTCTGGCCTTCGAGGGCATCTAACCTGCATGCACATGCAAACTCACACATACACACATGCACACCGATAAAAATATATGTATTTTGAAGCATAGTATATACTTTTATTTTAAAAAATTCATGTGAAATCCAGTACTATGTGAAATGTGGCCTTTCACTTTATTGCCTTCTGCTCAGCCAGTGACTACAAATCAACTCCCCTTGCTCAAAAAAAAAAAAAAAAAAAAAAAAAAGTGTTCTTGGTCGACAGTCCACGCTCAGAATTGTTTAATTGAATGTTCATCAGTTTTTACTGAGTGGGGCCACCCAGCTCTGCAGCTGATTGCATTGACCATTTAGTGGGAGGAGCAGCTGCTTTAACAAAAAGACCCTGAGGTGGGCAGGCTCCAGCAAGAAACAGGCAGATACTACTCTGTGGAGTGGACAGAGACAGAGCCTCACGAGCACTTCCTGTCTCCTCAACACTACAGGGAAAGTAGAACCATAGCTTCCTAGACATAAGGCTGAGTCAGCAGCATGCATCTGCTCTGTTCTTTTCCGTGACTGTGCCCTGTGCCACACAGCCCACTCCCCTCTACCAAATCTGCTGTGGTGGGTTACAATCTCTTGCACTACCCTACACATCTTTAAGTTTGGGTCATACTATGTAGCCCAGGCATGTCTGGAACTTACAATCCTCCCGCCTCAGCCTTTCAGGTATGCTGTGATCATAAACATTTGCCACCATGCCCAGCTCAACCTGCCTTGCTTTTCCTGTTTGTTTTTGGTTTTGGTGCTTAATGACACCAAATATTTATTGATTCTCAAAGGACTTACTATTTTAATCCTTACTCTTAAAATTATAACTTAAAAAAAAAAAAACAATTGCAGACTGTAGAGTTGACTCAGCAATTAAAAGCATTTGTTGTTCTTGCAGAGGACCGAGGTTCATTTCCCAACACCCACAACGTGGCTGACAGTCATCTGTAACTCCAGTTCAAGAGGATCAGATGCCCTCTTCTGGTCTCTACTGGTACAGCATACATATGGTGACCAGCCATACCTGCTGGCAAAACACCTACACATGTAAAATAAAGTAAATAAGAATAAAATAAATAAATATTTTCAAAGCATAAATTGCACAGTCCAAGTTTCAACTACCAGTGGATAAAACCATTCATTCACTCATACATTTGGGGACCACTGGAAGCAGATGAGGGAGACATGCAGATAGCCAGGGATAGGAGTAGATCCTCCATACAAGAAATGCCTGTAGGTTTAAGAATCTGTGTGGCTCAGAGGATCTGGTCATGGGATCAAATAAGAGGTGGGATTAGGAGGGGTGGAAGGCTAATGTCATGGGGTCTCCTTATCCATAGCAAACTTAGACCTCTATTCTGAGAATCATGGAAGCTTATGGAGGACTGCAGTGGAATGTCTAGATTTGGCATGTCTGAGGCTGGAGCATTAGACTGAAATTTGCAAGGAAGAAAGCAGTAAGCAAGTGATGGGATATCCAGGAAAGAGCCATGGAAGGCTCCAGATCTACACCTCTAAGCTTGGCATGCCTTGGCAGGTGGGGCTGACTGACCACTATTTGGCCACCATTTCTCTCAAACTTGTTTCTGTTTCTCTGGGGTCCTTTGTGTGATTCTCTTGAGGAACTGAGCTGTTATGAAGCTTTGTTTAAGATTACATATGTGGATTTTTTTTAATTACATTTTTTTTTCCTCCAGTAAATCCTTTGGAGGAAGCTAAATTAAGCTAAAGCTTCTTTTCTCGTTACTGTGACAAATTGCCTGACAGAAACAATTTAAGGGAAGAAGGGTTTATTGTGGCTCACAGTTTGAGGGTGTGCAGTCACTTGTGGTAAGAAAGTCATGAAAGCAGGAACATGAGGTAGCTGGTCACACTGCATCCACAGCCATGAAGCGGGGGAGGGGGGGAGGGGAGGTGCTGGTTACAAACTCAGTTTCTCCTTTTTAATAAGCTCAGAGCCCCAGGTGCTATTCACATTGAAGTAGATTTTCCTATCCCAGTAAACCCAATCTAGAAACTTCCTCCTAGACATACCCAGAGATTTGTTTTCAAGATGATTCTGGATCCTGTGAAAGTAGCAGTCTATATTAATTATCACATTGATCTTCCCAGCCACCTCCCCCAATTGTTCTCAACAGACTGATGGCTACTTGAGACAAATGATGCCAGCTGAGCTGTGCTCATGAGTCCCTCTGCATGTCCAACATGTCCTTGTATTCTGTCTCAAGTATCCCTCAGTGTTCCCCTGGGAACATCTGTATTCCTTACAGGGTAGAAACAGGGAGCCTCTGGTCAGGGGCAGCTTTTCCAGAATCACACACACAGAGCAAGTAAACCTGAGTCACTCTGGCTCTAAAACTCTCAAGGCTGGGTGAAGATACATTCTAAAGGCAGAAAACCTACAGAAATGCCTGTAGGTTTAAGAATCTGTGTGGCTCAGAGGATCTGGTCATGGGATCAAATAAGAGGTGGGATTAGGAGGGGTGGAAGGTTAATGTCATGGGGTCTCCTCATCCATAGCAAACTTAGACCTCTATTCTGAGCATCATGGAAGCTTATGGAGGACTGCAGTGGAATGTCTAGATTTGGCATGTCTGAGGTTGGAGCATTGGACTGAAAATTGCAAGGAAGGAAGCAGTAAGCAAGTTGATAGAGACTCTAAGTTCCAAGGTACTGTGGGGTGGCTGAGGAGAAGTGGGATCATTAACATCTTGATCTAGGTGATTTGACACAGCACAAGTCCAAACCTCCTCCAGCTTTGCAAAATCAGCTTGGATGCCCTCTCTGTCTGCTTCCCCTGTTCCTTGCCTGTCTAGTTCCGAGCAACTACCCAAAAGAAACTGGCAACAATAACCATCACAGAGTGGCAGAGGCAATCATACCTACAATGGCAGACATTGGTACAACCTTCTACTGTAGTGGGATGCTGGTCAAAACACACACCATGGTGAGACACAGCGCACACCCACTGTGCTGGACATTTGTGACAACAACCTTCCACCGGCATGGGAGACAATGGTCACAATACCCACCAAGGGACACTGCCTACTGTAAGCCCTCTGGTGGACTCCAACAATATCTTTCCGGAACAGGTCCTTCATCCTCTGAGCAAGCACATCTGTTCTTGCTCTCATTTTGCTCAGAGACCCTAGCATTGCAGGTGGTACAACCTCACCCACTCAGCTGCACCTACCCAGAGCCCTGGCCCAACCACAAAGGCCCACCACTCACCACCAATTAGCTTTGTTTTCAGTATAAATAGCAGCCACCTTGAAGAACATCCAATCACTCAAGCTTATAACAGGCGAGGGATTCCTGGTACACTGACTGTGAGCAAAAAATGCTACGCTTGCTTTCTGGCCAACTGCATCTCAGCTGAGACCACCAGGAGTCCAGATGCTGAGCAAGGGACCAGGCCTGACTCCACAGAAGGGGCCTGCTGAGCTAAGAAAACAATGTTTTTCCCTCCTCCTTCCCTTTCCCCCTCCCCCTTCGAGGCAGCAGTGTGTGTGTGTGTGTGTGTGTGTGTGTGTGTGTGTGTGTGTGAGCTTGATGATGGTTCGAATCTGTGACAAACTGTCTGCCACCAATGTGTGCTGGCAGAGAGCTGTTCTTGGAAGGCCTCACACGGGACACAAAGGCACCTTTTACGTTGCGTGTCTCCCCTCAATGAGTGCCCGACCCTCATGCTTTCTTTGTTTAAAAGTGTAGAAAAATCTCGCTGAAGCAATAGTAAACCGCGGCCTGAGACTGTGCCAACAATATTAACCAACTTCTTTTCAGAGCCTTTGAAGTTAGCAGGGGGCAACATGCTTGTGGTGCTAGGGAAGAATGATACTTAAAGCGATTCCTTTTCATCCCTTTAACTTGATGAAAGATTAATGGCCTTGTTATTTTTATTTCTGCTCCTTTTTCCCTTTAATTTCTACCCCTCCCCTCCTCTGCTGAGATTGAAAAATCCTTTCCCTGTAATGGTTTTTTGGATCAGTGGGTTTTGTGAATACAGCCTGCACCCTTTTGCCAGCATCCACCAACTGGACCAACTACTCCACATCCTCTATACCCAGGTGTCTTCCAGGGAGGGGTCTGGGGGTGAGTGAGCAGGTGGGTGGCAGCCTGGGGCTGGATCTTATCCAATACCACCTCCTTCCAGAGAGCTGCAATGCCTTGGCAGAAACTTTTTCCTTTCTTCCTTGAAGATGTACTGTGGTTCTCTTTGGCACCCTCTTGAGATGCTGCTGTGGGCCCAACAGCAGGATTTTGAACCCGAAGGACCCAAGGACTTATGGGGGGGAGGAGGTAGGAAAACAAGAATACAAGGATATTTGGCAGTCAAGAGCTTTCCTCCTGTCCCAGTACCCACTTTCTCAAGTTGGTGATGGTTGTGGTGGTGGTAATGATGGTGGTAGTCATGGTTGTCTTAGTTTGGTCTTTGTTGCTGTGATAAAAACAAAACAAAAACCCACTGGCCAAAGTCAACTTAGGGAAGAAAGGGCTTATTACATTTTACATGGAGGGAAGTCAGGGCAGGAACTCGAAGCAGGAACCCAGAGGCAGGATTTGAAGCAGACATCATGGAGGAGTGCTGCTTACTGGCTTGCTTCCCCATGGCATTCTCAGCTTGATTTTTTATACAACTCAGGACCACCCACCCACAGTGGGCCTTCACACATCAATCATCAACCAAGTAAATGCATCACAGATT